TCTAGCCAGAGTCTTCTTTAAACTTGGTAAAATTACTATTTTAGAAAATTGAAACTCCATTTTTCAAATTTGCCATTTATCTAATATTATTTTTGGCAATTTTGGGGTTGAGGTAGATTACAGGATCCATTCCAGAATCTTTTTTACTTTATTTAATTGTCAAGTCTGTTTATTCTCCTGTAATCTGGAACAATTCAAGTCTGTCTTTGTCTTTTATAGTGATGTTTTAACAGAACACAAACCATTTATTTTTTAGAATATTCTACAAGTTGGTTTTTAAGTGTGAGAAGAGAGCCAGTAATTTTGCCCGAGACATTATATTCAAAGGATGGTTTGCCCACATTGCTAACACGTGTTATACAAAAACACAAACCTGGTGTATTAGACTCTTTAGAGACCTATAGTAAAATAGTACACATTCTCTTTCCATTACATATTTTTAAGTGATTGGTAAGGAAGACAAGAAAATACAGAAACGTAATACTTTGTGCCTTGCTTTCAGTTCAAAGATTGGTCTGCCATTAACCTTTAACTATCAAATGTGCTTTCTTACCATCACCCCATCCCCCTTTTGCCCTTCTTTTCTAGCTCCGTAGTTCCATCCAAGTATAAGTTAGGTGCTTGAAGCTTTGTAATTTTTTTTTGAGACAAGGTCCTGCTCTTTTGCCTGGGGTACAGTACAGTGGCATTATTGTAGCTCAATGCAACCTTCAACTCCTAGGTTTAAGTAATCCTCCTGCCTCAGCCTCTTAGTAGTCAAGACTGTCGACAGACACCACCATGCCTGGCTAATTTTTTTATTTTTATTTTTTCGTGGAGCCAGGATCTTATTATTGCCAGGCTGGACTCGAACTCCTGGGCTCAAGTAATCCTCTTGCCTTGGCCTCCCAAAGTGCTGGGATTACCGACATGAGCCACTGTGCCTGGCCAGCACAGTAATCTTTAAACTTTGTAATCTTTAAACTTTTCTTCTTAATTACTGTTAAAGGAATAGTAGGAATACAAGAGTCTGCTCCTCATTTTAATAAAACCTTCAAGTTCTCATTTAGAGAGCTGACTATGTAGCAGGTTGGTGAAATCAATTTTATTTTGACAGAAGTTTAAAAATTGGCCTAAACATTTTGAATGATAATACTGTACTAGCCATAAGGATCAATAATAATTGCACATAAAATTGGTCTTCACATTTAGCTCTGAACATCCTTGCAAGAGAAGTAAAAAGAGAATATTTTCAATTGCAAAAATATTACCAGAATAAAGGGAGCATATCAGTTCCTTAGGGGAAAGTTTCTGTGCCTGAGACACTGGTCCTGTTCTCTAGAGATAGGCACTGATTACATTTAGTGATTTAATCATTAAGCATATTTAGTTATTAAATAATTCTCTAACAACCTTTTCACGTATATAATAATAGCTATGCCACTGTTTAGCCAGTTTGTTGTTTTTAGATTATTGCTTTTGTTTGTAAAACTTAAGATAATTAAATGCTTTTAGGAACATTTGTTTATGTAGAGCTTCATACAGATTTAATATTGTTAGGATGAATTCCTGATATTTCATCATTTGTCAATTCACTGTGTTTCTAGCAAAAATTTTAATGACTTAATAGTAGCTTAGCTACTATAACCTTTTCCTATGTTAGCCTCTTTTTGTAGGCCTGGAAATGGGTGCAAAGGGAAATTTAGAAGCCTGTTATGTAAAGGAAAGACTTTTTAAAAGTGTTTGGCATCAAGGCAGCAATACAAATCTTTGTACTTAAGCTAAATTAATCAGGTTTATCAAAGAATAGCAGTATGGTCCCAGTTACTTAAAATATTAATAGATTAGTAAGTTCGATTCTTTTCATTAATAGTTTTTTTAAAAAAACTAATTAAAATAAAGATATCCGTTAGTGTTCTTGTTGGGTTTTGCACTTTGGATAAATGTGAAATCAGTAACGTGACTCTGGGTTGTCCAAATACATGTAACAAACTAGTAATTTTTAAAATATAATTTTTTTGGACTTTTCTTCAAAGAACTTAATTCAGTAAGGTAAGTCAGTGATTAAGAAAGTTGGGCTGGGCTCAGTGGCTCATGCCTGTAATCCTAGCACTTTGGGAGGCCAAGGCAGGAGGATTGCTTGAGGTCAGGAGTTCAGGACCAGCCTAAGCAAGAGCAAGACCCCCATCTCTGCAAAAAATAGAAAAATTAGCTAGACGTGGTGGTGCACACATCTGTAGTCCCAGCTGCTTGGGAGGCTGAGGCGAGGATTGCTTAAGCCCAGGAGTTTGGAGTTGCAGTGAGCTATGATGATGTCGGTGCTTTTTACCTGGGGTGACAGAACACGATCGTGTCTCAAGAAAAGA